CCTTTATCATCTTCAAAGATTTTATGTATTTTACTAATCATTTAGAAAATTATATATATATATATATACATATATGCATACATACATACATACATGTATAAAATTGTCAGTCACCCCAGTGGAACGTGAGTGCCTAAAGGACAGGGAGCTTCGTCCGATTTGTTGGTGGTTGAATCCCCAGCACCAGGCACAGGGCCTGGCGCACAGTAGGGGCTCAGCGACCAGGGCAGCAGAGCAAACACATCATTGACTCCAGGGCACCCCTGGCCTGAAAAGAAGTAAAACATCTCACTTGGGAGCAAACCATCATTTCTGACACAGAAGCCCACAGCAGCCTGGATCAGAGTGTGGGGCAAAAGTAACACAGCCCAGGCAGTGCGCCCCTGCCCCGGCCCGCTGGCCACCAGCTCAGACGTGCTCCCAGAGGTGGAGGGGGCAGCCCCCTGGAAACTCGTAAAGGGCAGCCAGCCGTGGCCACCATCACTCCGTGAGGCAGAACAAGTCCCGTGAACCCCACCTCTGACAGCTTTATGAGGCTCGGCATGTGCGTGCAGGAGGCGCCACGCCTACGCGGTCAGAGTCCCCAGGAGCGCAGCCAGCGAGGGCGGAAATGCTCTCACACACGGATCTGCGTGACCGTCGCCCAGAAGGGTGGCCATCGGGTCACTGGGCTTCATGATGTCCAGGGTTGCTATCTCCACGTTGCAGAAGAGGACGTTACAGCTGACGCGGACGGGATCTGCTGAGGTTACGCAGCAGGTCCGGGGCAAGGCCAGGACGAGAAGCGGGCTCCCCGCCCCCACGCGGCCACTGGCCCGTTGCTAAGCCCGGGACCCTGGGGCGTGGGCCAGCAGGCGCGGTGCGGCCCTGGGAGGGTCACCATGATGATGAGTACGTAGCTGGCATTTGGGGAGGACTCGCCGTGTGCCAGCGTCACGCTAAGAACCTTACACTGATGTTCATTTTACAGGCGAGGAAACAGGCCGGGGTACCTTGCCCAGGGTTATACAGGAGAAGTACCAGAGCTGAGATTCTTGCTCAGAATCCCCCCTCCTAGCTGCCTTGAGTCTGTTCCCTGCTCTGATCCCTGCCCAGTGGCCCTCCAAGGGCCCTGAAAGGCCCCCCCGTGAGAGACGATGGACCAGAGTCGGGGCGGGACCCGGTCCCGGCCCCGGGGGACGAAACCGAGGCTGGAGGGCGCCACCTGGTGGTCCTGTGAGCACACCACAGCCCTGGGGCCCAAGGTTCCGGTTCTGAGCTGGGGGAGGGGGCTTGGCCAGGATGCCTGGGGTGTGGGGGGGAGGGGGCATGTGCTGGGATTTCTCAGAGGGACACTCCCACACCCCCTTCCCAAGGTAGCATTGGTGCTGGCTCCGCAGAACTGCCTGTCTCCCCTCCTGGTCAGACAAATGCCTTGCTGTCCAAGCCCACCTCTCTCTGCCCCACCTCTGGGTCTTTGCACATGCTGTTCCCTGGGCCTGGCATCCCCTCTCCCCTCTTTGTGCCCCAAACTCCTACTCATGCTTCGGGGCCCAGCTCAGATGTCACCTCCTCCACCCTGTGGAGTGTCTGCTGCCACTGAACTTCCCTCAGTCGGGCGTCATGGAGACCCCGGGCCCCCGCTCCCTCGGGGACTCCTCCTCTGTCCTGCACACACACACACCCAAAGGTTGAGCCATCTGGGCTGACCCTCTGCAGGGCCCTGTTGCCCTGGGGTTTCCCATCGGGACCTGTCAGGCCCATCTCTCTGGCTGTGACCCCCCGTTGCTGGCTCTGCCCCACTCACCCCAGGCGCATTCCCACCCCAGGGTCTTTGCAATTTCTGTTCCCTCTGCCTGGAAGCCTCTCCTTCCGGATCCTCACTCCTGGGCCCCAGGCGGCCTCCACCGCCAGGTTCAGATCCCTGCCCACTGGCTCCTGCTATATTCATTTGTCTCCTTTTTTCATGTGTTCAGTCTGCCTCCCCCACTAAGACATAAACCCCAAAGGGCAGCAGCTTTGTTTTTTTTCACTGTCATTTCCCAAGTCCCTAGAACAGCCTGGCACGTGGCATGTAGCTCAGTGACAATTCCTTGAATTGCTGCACCTAGATCCTACTGTTCCAGGCGCTGGGAGTAGGAAGGACAGAGACCAGCTGGGGCCCTGACCCCTTTACCCCCGACCCCGGTTCCTGCCCCTTCCTTCCAGCCTGGATTCCTCCATTGCCCGATTGTGACCTTTGGGATTGGGTCCTGAGCTGCCCAGAGGCTGCCACCCTGCTTCCATGCCAGCCACTACTCTAATGGCTCTAAATAGAATGACTCATATATTCTTTGCAATAACCCATTTTACATGTGAGGAAACAGGCACAGAGAAGTTAAGGGACTTGCCCAAAGTCACACAGTCAGGAAATGGCAGAGCCAGAATCTGAACCCAAGCAGCCTGGCCCCAGGGTCCATCCTGTCCACTATGTAGCACACAGGGGAACCCTGTCTGGAGCACATCCTGGACACCTGCCCTGGGTGCCCTGCTGCTCTCCCACCCCCAGCCCCACCACATCAATCTCCCCTGGTGACTTGCTGCTGTAGAACAATGGCCAAGCCTTCAGCCCGGCGCTCGAGGCCTCACAGCCAGCCCAAGCCACGTGGAACCCTCCTGCTCCGGGCCACACCCTGGGGTCTGCATCATCCCCGACCCCCAGAGGGTCGCCTGCTTCCAGGCATTTGTCGTTCCCTCCACACCCTGCAGGCCTGTCCCTGGCCACCCTCCTCCACATACCCTGGGTCAGAACTCACTTCACAGAGACGGAGAACTCCCCTGGGGAGCTCTCACTCTCCCGGATCAGGAAGGCTCCCGGGTGATTCCGCTTCGTCAGAATTTCTTCTGCCAGCTGCCGGGAAATCCTGCCCGAGTACCACCTGCAGAGAGGGGGCAGGTGAGGGGGGGGGAGGCCAGGCTACCCTGCCCCTATGCCAGCCACCCAACACCGCCAGGTCCTCACAGCAGTCCCGAGACACAGGAAATACAACGGCACCGACTTTACCCAGGGAGGCCAAGGTCACGCGCTGTGAAAGGCAGGAGTTGGGCCCAGTCCCAGCATTCTGGCTCCTGAGCCCAAGCATTTCCCACCACACCAGGCAAACACACACCTCGGTGAACCCCAACCCAGCCAACCCCAGCTGGGCTTTTCCATTTCAGGTTCTTAAAAGTAAAAAAATATTTTAAAAGATGACCCCCCCCAAAAAAAATAGCAGCTTTGATCTGGTGAGGAAGGGTCTCTCCCTGTACCCATTTCACAGATGCACAGCCTGAGGCCACCTGGACTTTTTCTCACAGGTTCAAGTCCCTTTTCTTTCTGACCAGACAGAACTGGGTATACAGAAGGTGCCTTGTAAATGCCGAGGGTCTGGCAGGGCCTGGGGGTGAGAGGCTGGGATCCAGCTTCTCTTCCAGCCCTGCCCACTGTGCTCTTTGGGGCTCGCCCACCCTCGGAGGGTCCAGGTGGTCTCTGGCTGGCTTCTTGGCCCCTGGATTTGAGCCCAGTCCCTTAGTGGAGGAACTGAGGCCCAGAGCAGGTGGAGTCTCCCAGTGGGATCTTGGTGCCCTGAGGGCCACCGGAGCCTCCCTTCCCTGTACAATTGCCCTTCCCTCCTTCAACCGAGCTTCCTGAGTCTGAGCGTGGCCCCGGGCGGATGTGAGGCAGATCTTTTCCTGTTGTAGCAGGGTGTTGACAGCGAGCCCTCCAGGCCCAGCACAGAGGCTCAGGTGCACACAGACCGGGTCCTGCCGGGAACCCCACCCGCCAGCCACGTGTGAGCCCTTGCAGTTCCTCCGAGGGCTTTTTACTAACGTGATTGGCCTGTGTGCGGGGCAGGTTGGGCCCCCGGATGTTCTCAGGTGATGACAGGGGGCAGGAGGACAAACACGAAGCTCGGGCGCCGGCTCCCTGGCTCTGGCCACAGGGAGAGCCCGTTGCCCAGGGCCGCCACCAGTGGCAGTGCCGCCAGCCCCCTCTCTGCCTGCTTTCCAGTCCGAAATAAAGTCCTGGTCCTGACGTGGCGTCTCAGAGCCCCCCACCCAGAAGTGAGGTTCTAGCCCATCGCGGGCCCCCAAAATGGGGGGGACCCTAGGCTCATCTCTGGGCGGGTGGAGGGGAGGCGGTGGAGGTGGGGGCCAAAGGCGGGGCTCCAGGGAACCTCCAAGAGCTCGGCCTGGGTCTCTGGAGTCTGGGAGTCCCGGATGAGGCCTCCAAGCCAGAGGCTGAGCTCAGGGGGCCCCGGAAGGGCGCTCCTCTGGGGAGCCCCCAGCAGGCCCCAGGTGCAGTGCTGCCACAGGAGCAGGGGTCCAACAGGGCCCTGCGTGGGAATTTCCAAAGAACCCACAAAACTCCACAGGAGGCATCAGCGTGTGGGCGGCTGTCACCCTCAAAGGATTTTGCAACCGCAGCCTCGAGGAGGCCCGCCCTGCCCCGACCAGGTCCTTGGTGGCTCGGGGACAGGGTGCCGGAAAAGCAGCACTCCCGATGCCCCAGAGCACAGCTGGCTCCACGCGTGGACGCCTCGCTTAGTCCCCATTTTAATGATGTGGAAATTGAGGCCCAGGGAAGGGCAGGGATCCCCAAAAGTTGCTCCGCAATTCTCTGGCCTCCGACTCTCCCCCAGCCCACCCCCCTCCCCCAGCTGTTCTTAACAGTTCCTCCATCCCGTCCCAGTGAGCACAGCCGGGGCCCACAGCACTGGCGGCAGATCTCACTCTGCCTCTTGCCAGCTGTGTGACCCCGGACAAGCCACTCAACCTCTCTGTGCCACCACCTCCTTGCCCACAAGACCTTGACGAGAGCACCCAGCTCGCAGGGCCCTTGGGAGGAGGAGGGCGCTGCCGCCTGCAGGAGTTCACCGCTGCTGCTGTGAACTCCTCCCACGCGTCGCCCATTGGCCTGTCTGCGGCCCTCCCAGCAAATTCTACTCTACTTTCCAGGCCCAGCAGACCACGCCCTCCTCCAGGAAGCCGTCCTCCAGGAAGCCCTCCTCAACGCCCACCGGCCACGCGGCTGCGTCAGGTGCCTCGGTGACCCCTGCCCGTGAGGCTCACGGCCCCCCTCCGTGGGCTCCCTGGGCAGGCGGAGGTGATGGTGGAGCTCAGGGAAGGAGTGGCCTGGTGTAGACACGAGGCCCCCTGGGACCCCTGCCCTGCCCCCGCCCCACACCCTGGAGCCCAACGGGCTGCGTCAGGCACAGAGCTGGACTTTCCCCACTGCTATTTCGGGGCCAGGGCAGGGGCTGAGGTTAGCCAAGGATGCATCTGGGCACGGCTTCAGGCAGGTGAGCATGCGGCCTGACCCCCGTCCCTACTCTGTCCCAGACTCACGTGGCCAGAGCCAGCCCCAGGGAGCCCAGGGCCATCGGACACGGGAACCCTCCATGGCTCCCAGCTGCCCTGGTGGAGGCTTGCCTGAACCACCAGCATTGCCCCGACAGGCGTGGCCCCAAAACCTATCAGCTCTTCTTTCCTCCTGAGCAAACAGAAGCCTCTGCTTAGGCTTCTCAGCGGCCTCCTACCTCCCAACCTCCTGGCCTTCACCGCGTCACAGCCTCCCCCCGGAGGCTCCCGCTCCCCCCGTGTCCTCCGCTGGCCTGGCTCTGGCCGGGTTCTCGCTGTCTCTCTCCCTTTATGACAGAAAGCCTTTAAGGCTGGAGGACAGGCCCCTGCCCAAGGTCACACAGCCCAGAGGGACCCTGCGGGCCTGGAGCCCAGGCAGGGGACCTGGGTGGGTCGGGCCCTTGCCCAACACAGGAAGTCCGAGGTGGTGGCAGCTTTGGAAATAACTCGAAGACAGGTAAAGAGGAATGACCTCCAGGCCCCACCCTGGCCCTGCACCTCCCTCCCGTCCACCCCACAGCCACACACGGGCCCTGACCTGCCTTCACCTCTGCAGGAGTTCTACTCCCCACCCGGCTCAAATGCCTCCATGGCTCCCACCACCCTCCACCGGGCGTTTGAGGCCCTCCTGCTGGTCCCACTGCCAGGGGTTCTCGTTGTTCCCGCTCCCAGGAATGCCCTTCTCTTTTTCTCATTAGCTAACTCCTACACACATGCTTCAAAACCTCACTTGTTGCCACCTCTTCTGAGAAGCCCTCCCTGGTTAATTATCTGAATGCTGACCACCTTCCCTTGTCATAGTTTCTTTATGTCCTGTCTCTCCCACAGGACACAACTGCTCTGACCCCAGCATCTCATCACGTGTCCCCAGCATCACCCAGGTGAGTCCCCTCAGGCAGTGGCCGGTGTTTGGCGAATGACTGAACGAGCGACTGTGACTTGGGGCTACTTCAGCCACCACTCTGTGAATATCCATTTGGTTTTTCCCAGATTCTTGGCCACTTAGGCCTGTTCCGGGGCTGAGAACAGGGTTTTCAGCACTGGAAGCCTGACGGGGGCTTCCCTGGGACAGCTGGTCCCAAGCCCGAGGATACCTGGGCTCCTCGTGACTCCCTCTCCGCCGTGTCCCAGACTCTGCTCAGCCCATGTCAGCTCCCCTGCCCACAGGTCTGCCTTCTTCCTGCCCCTCCACGGCCCCTCACTCCCCACCCCGGCACAGGGCTGAGTCGGCCTCTTAGAGGAGCCTTGGCCCTCCTTGTGTTGCAGGTAGGGAAACTGAGGAACAGAGAGAGCAGGGGTCTGCCTGAGGCCACACAGCAGCCAGGGGCCCCGCTGGCTGAGCGCCCAGGGCCCTGTCCTATCCAGGGCCCCTACCGGGATGCTCTCCAGTGTCCCAGGTCCTAGTGTCGTGGCCTGGGCTGGCCCCGACTGCCACGACTTGGGACAAGTCCTCACATCTCTGTCCTCCACCTCTGCTTGGGGAAGAGACGGGGGTCCCCAGACAGATGGCGGGAGGCCGGGCTGAGGACTTGCAGGCAGCTCAGCTCAGCCTCGGCCAGGCTGGGTGTGGACGTTTGGCTTCAGGGCCGGGGGTGAGGGGTGCCCTGAGGACATGCGGGGGGGGGGGGCTGCCACTCACGGGTGGGGCTTGACGTGGATGTAGTTCTTGGGGACGAACCCCTCTGCACCCCGGAGCTCGGCCTTGTACCAGTTCTGGTCGTCTTCCATGTTCAAAATCTGCGGGCGGGAGAGACACGGTCACCTGGTCACCTAGGAGGGACAGCTGTCCCCTGCTGAAGGCCCACACCAGCCCTGGAGCCCACTTCCCGGAGGAGAGCGAGGTCGCAGGGTGACTCCACGGTCCAGGGGTCACAGAGGAGAATTTGGTTGGTGGCTTGAGCTTACGGGGGGAGCTGGAGCGCGACTCTCAGGTCGTGCCACCCAGACCCCCGGGTGCTGGGGGACAGATCCGGGGCCCCTCAGTCCCTGAGCTGTGGCCCTGAGCATGGGGGGCCCACAGCAGTTGATACGAGGCACAGAGCCGGGGGTCGGGGGTAGGTCTGCGGAGGCCCCGCCGAGCGGTGGTCATGGGGGTCACTTGCATTTACAAGCTTCACGTCTGAGCTCAGGGCTGATGATCAGACGGGGGCTTCAGACACCGGGGAGCGAACGAGAGGCCTCTGCGCTGCGGCGGGGCCGAGGCCTGGCTGCTCGGGTCGCAGACACCCCCTCGCCTCGCAGGTGGGCCGAGGGGAACCGAAACCTGAGCGGGGTGGGGGGGCCGCTACGGGCGGGTGAGTGGGACGCTTGGGCTCCCTCCCCACTCCCTGGGCAGGCTCGCCATGTGTCACCCCTTCTCACACCAGCCCCCGAGGCCTCCTTCACCAAAGGCTACTTCACAGAGGAGGACACAGGCCCAGACGGGAGGGGAGCAGGGCCACACGGCAGGGGTCTTAGGACCGGCTCCCCCCCGCCCCGGTCTTCACCCTGTGCCTCCTCCCACATTGTCTCTGGACCCCAACCCGGGGGTCATCTCTCCCCTAAGTCCCAGAACAGGTCCCCACGTCAGGTCAACCCCAGTGGGGATAATTGGTTAAGACAAAAAATCAGACGCAGATCCGCAGCCCAAGCAGGGAGCATCATGGGAGCAAAGGCTGGACAGCAACTCAGGTGGTTTGGTTTTACCAAGAGGAGCTGAGATTTGCCCCCTGGGCCCAGGCCTGGCCCCTCCCTCGTCTGTCTGCCAGGTCCCTTGAGCCCCTCCTTCCTGCCCCCGCAGTCTGGGCCAGACCAGCATCCCCAGGGAAAGCCGGAAACAGGTGGCTGACTCAGGATAACTTTTGCTGAAAACTAAACAAAACAAAAAACTCCCCCAACTTAATGAGAAAATTAGGGCCTGCGGGTCACAGACTCGGTGAAGATTCTTGGGGGCCTCGGGCTCTAGACCACTCTGCCTGCCGCTGACTCTCTCCACAGCCCTGGCATCAGTTTCCACATCTGTAAAATGGGCACATCTACGGCCTACATGGCACATGGCAGTGTTTTGTGACCTGCAAAATCCTGTGTGGACATGTGGATGTGACGTATCTAATCTATCCCAGTTTTGTTTTGGTTTTGTTTTCCTGTCACCTCCACTCCAAGGAAAGACCCAGAAATGTTCTGATTGGTTGTATTAGCTGAATTCTTGCTGTTAACATTGTTCAAAGCCCCCAGACCCTCTGAGACATGGGAATTCCCGACCTTCCCTGGTGAAGCTCACACCTCGGCCTGCCCCTGCTTTGCCCCTGCAGTGCCCTTCTCCTGGGTGCGGTCTTGTGCCACCGTCCCCTGGCCAGTGCGGCCACGGAGCACCTCCTGCGTGCCAGGCGCTGTGCCCAGCCCTGTGATATAGCAGGAAGCAGGAGGTCACATTTTAGTGGGCAGAGGCAGACAAGAAACAGGAAGGACACAAGTAAACAAGGTAATTTAATGTTCTGCTCTGTGGTCTGAAAATATACGTCAGGATGACATAGAAGGAAGATACCTGGTTGGGGGCAGGGGGACTGTCAACAGGGGACAGGTGGGGGTGGGCAAGAAAGGCCTCTCTGAGGAGGTGGCACATGAGCTGAGGCCCAAATTACAGAAAGGAATGAGACATGAGAAGATGTGGGAAACAGTGTCCAAGGCAGGGGGAACAGCCAGTGCCAAGGCCCTAAGGTGGGAGCAAGCTCTGTCCTGGAACAGAAAGGAGGCCCCTGTGTCTGCCGTTGAGGCGGGCAGTGCTGTGAGTTGAATGGGGAGGGTGAGAGCTTGAAGGTCTTGTGCTCCAGGACTGGGGGGGACGAGGGGTCTGTGAAGAGCAGGCCCAGGTGAGCGGTGAACGGGGCCTGGACTGGGGCTGCTGAGACATGGTCAGATCTGGGGTAGGTTTTGGCAGAGCGGCTGACAGGCGAGATACACGAGACGGAGAGGAAACAGCCGAGACAACCCCAGGCTGTGGGCCTGAGCGCGGGCAGGCGGTCGTGACCGTCAGCTGCTGTGCAACAGGTGCGAGAGGAGGTGGGGAAGCTCAGGGTGGCTGGGTCGGGCCTGAGGTGCACCGGCCACCACCGGGGAAATGCCAAGAGGCCGTGGGCTCCCCGAGTCTGGGTCCTGGGGGCCAGGCTGTGAGTGAAGAGGTGGAGGTGAAGCCACCACCCACATCTTTCCTCCAGTGGGGAGCAGCGGGGTCCTGTGCACCCAGAAACGCCTGCCCGTCGGCGAGGGGGGCTTTGTTCCAGGGAAGTGACATTTGGGGCCCCTTGTCCAGAGTGGGTCCACGCGCCACCGGGCTTTCGTCTAAGAGCAGAGCTCAGACTGGAAGAGTAGCATCGTTGCCGGCTCCCAGAGGCTGGGATCTGTGTGTCCGCCGGTCACTGCTGGGCTGGGACAGGCCTGGCCCACAGCCAGCGCGCAGGAAACATGCTCATGAAGGCACAGGTCGTGGAGCTCAGCCACCAGCCCCACCCGCTGTCCCCGGCCCGGGGGAGGGAGAGGGGACACAGGGTGACATCACAGCCACGTTTTTATGGTTACAGAAATGAGACCCTGGACTAGCGTGGGATGGGTGAGGCACTTTGGGTACAAACTTTAAGGGAGCTCCAAAAAAGTCAGGAATCAAGATAAAGAATATTTTAAAGGAATATGTTAAAAAATCAAAATTTCTGAATATGGTCATTAGCTAATAATAATGTATCCATATTGCTCCATTAATGTAACAAATGTACCAGGTTAATAATATAAAATGTTACCAAGGGTGTGCGAGTGTGTGTGGGCAGTGGGAAGGGGCGGCAGGGTGTCAGATTGGAATTCCTCTGTACCATCTTCTCGATTTTTCTGTACATTTCAAACTGTTTTAAAAAGAGTCTATTTAGGGACTTCCCTGGTGGCACAGTGGTTAAGAATACGCCTACCAATGCAGGGGACACGGGTTTGAGCCCTGGTCTGGGAAGATCCCACATGCCGTGGAGCAACTAAGCCCGTGTGCCACAACTACTGAGCCTGGGCTGTAGAGCCCACGTGCCACAACTACTGAAGCCCGCGCACCTACAGCCCGTCCTCCGCAACAAGAGAAGCCACCGCAATGAGAAGCCCGCGCACTGCGATGAAGAGTAGCCCCCACTCGCCGCAACTAGAGAAAGCCTGCGTGCAGCAACGAAGACCCAACGGAACCAAAAATTAATTAATTAATTTTAAAAAATAGGCTATTTAAAATTTAGTGCAAAAAACTCCATCAAACTCTTAAATCAGGGACTTCCCACGGGGTCCAGTCGTTAGGACTCCAAGCTTCCACTGCAGAGGGCATGGGTTCAATACCTGGCTGGGGAACTAAGATCCTGCATACCGTGCAGCATGGCCAAAAATTTTTAATATTTTTTTTAAATTAAAAGAAAAATTTTAAATCAAGGCAGGCTTTGACCCGGCACCTGTACAGCTGTGAGAGGAAGGACCCCAACTCCACGTCTGGCCCTGGAAGGATCACTTGCTCATCTCTGTCCTGTGAGGAGAGGCAGACGTATGAACAAGGAAGCGTGATTTGCTCACAGCATGCCTCCCAGGAGTGACCACCAGCTCCTCAAGACATTATTTCTGGTGTTTTTTTCTAGGCACAAAGCCAACACATGAATGTCAGTTTCCCATCCCTAAAACTAATATCTATCGATTATTATTGATTATCTCTGTGCATGTTCCTTTGCATTCTGCTTTTTTGCCACTTAACGTTGCTTCACGAGCATTTTTACGTCGTTAAACGCCCCCCTCCCCAAAGAGCATTCTTAGAGGGTGTGTGATATTTTGTGCCACCCCTGGGCAGGTAGCTAGGGTGAGTCCACACTGCAAACTCACCCACGCCCCACAGCCCCACTTGCTGCATTCTCTCCATCCACTCTCCTCCCCCAGCTCTTTGCATGGCTGTGTCCTGCTCATCCTTCAGCTCTCAGCTCAGGTGTCATCTCTTTTGAGAGACTGCCCTGACCACCACCACCAACAACCCCCCCCCCCCCCCCCCCCCCGCCATCTAAAGCTGTCCCTCTGCCCCTCCCTCCCACCCACCCTCTCCATTCCATCTCCCCAGGTGATTTATTCCACCCATTTGTCACCTCCTGACAGCACGCACCCTCTGGAAGGTCCGCTCCGGGAGGGCAGGGACTGGGCTTCGTCCACTGCTGTGTCCTCAGCACTTAGGACAATGCCTGGTGCTGAGCAGGTACTCGAGGGCTTGACAAGGGTTTGTTGAATGAAGGAAGGAAAAAGCAGCCCCTCCGGTGGCCTGTCATTCCTTGAAAGGTCCCCTCCTGGGTCTCCACGGACACTAGGAGCAAATCCTATTGGGGTCTTAGCCAGGGTCTCGGCTAACATCTCCTTCCTTCTTTCCTTCATTCCTTCGACACCCCCGTGTCTTGCTGAGGGCCTGCCCTGTGCCAGGCACTGTTTTATGTCCCTGCCCTCAGGAGGCTCGGTTAGAAGCAAACAGCAGGAGTTGGCCAACGCTCTATCAAAGCTTAGTGGGAAACTTGGCCAATCTTGGGTGGGCAGGGGTGAGCACAGGCGTCCAGGAGGGAAGCGGGGGTGTCACCGTCTTTACAACACTTGCCTTGGGGGACCCCACGGATCTACTCCCTCCACCCTGGTTCATCCCTCTGAACCTCAGGTAGAACCCACCGGTCATCCCATTCCAAGCTCCCCACTGTTCCACTGCCTCTCAAGCCCCAAAGTCTGGAACTAGAGACTCCAAACTGCTCTTGGATAGGCAAACGAGGCCTCTGAAACAGACCTGGATCTCAAGAGTCTCGTGCCCTGGCTAGGTGGTGCTGGTGTCAAGCCTGCCCCATCCCCAGCTGGCCACACGTCCACAGGTCCCCCCACCAGCCACTCGGGGGGCCCAGGGCTGGCATCCCAGCACAGAGAAAGGGGGACATCCTCAAAAAGATGCGGTTCTTCTTGGAACCATCCACCTCCTGACCTAGCCCAGCTGTTCAGTGTCACGGGGTTCCGAATGCAGGTTCCAGAGTCAAAGGACAGGGGTTCACCTCTGACCCCACACCAGGCAAGCTGTGGCGCCTGCCTGTGCCTCATTTAATCACCTGTGAAATGGGGCCTCAGCAGCTTAAATGGGTGTTGATGCACACCGCTGAGCTCGGACCTGGGGCTCTGTACGGGGTCAGCACACGGAGGCCCTGTCCCTTCCTGGGCCCCGGCTCAGACTGGAAGCCTCATGCCCACCGTGCCGGTGCAGAGACCGAGGCCCAGGGAAGGGCAGGGGCTTCCTGAGCGTGACTTGGTGGCAGCTCCAGCGCCCGACTTGTGGCACGGCCCCTCCCAAATCAGGGCCCTGAGCTCTGCTTCCAGATGCAGACTTGAAAGCAGGGACATTTCCTAAGAGACAGAGCCCGGGAGCCCATCTGCCTGGGTCGCCCTGGAAGGCGTGTGTTCCTCCAGAGGCCACACAAGGGACCTGAGCGGTGTTGAGGCTTATCTTCCCCTTTCTCACCTGCAGGGAAGCTCGTCTGGACCCCTAATCATAGTTGTTTTAGCCCCGATAGGTTAGTGTGTGTACTTCATTCCCAAGACCCTCTCTCTGTCCCTCTGCATCCGTCTCTGCCTCTTCCTCTCTCTCTCTGTCCCCAGCTGTCTTTTCAAATTCTTTCTTGGGAAACGGTGTTGACTCAACCCCTGCCAGGCTCTAGGCTGATGTCTCCTTGAACCCTCACAACGGCCCCCAAAGGAGGGATCACTAGCTATCTCCCCATTTCTCAGATGGGGAAACTGAGGCTCAGAGGGTAGAGGTGGATTGTCCGGAGTCACAGACTTGATAACTGGAGAAGCCGGGCCCGTCTTCCTCCAGAGACTGGACTCTGTTTGGGGGGCTGTCCGGGCCCTGGTTTTAAGCACCCCCCCCCCATCCCATGCGAGGCCAGCTGAGCCGGCTCTGGCCACCCTACCTTGAGTGTGTCCCCCTTGTTGAAGGCCAGCTCATCGCTCTCTGTGGCCTGGAAGCTGTACAGAGCCACGGACTCCATGCCGCCGTCCCCGAGCCCCGGCAGCCGGGCTCTGAGCAGGGCCAGTAGCTTCCTGCTTCCTCTGCAGTCGAGGACCGTCTTCCTTTGTTTTGAGAGCGTGTTTGTGCTTTTGAAGCTGAGACCGAGACTTCCCCTGACAGGAGAAACAGGAAGCAGAGATGTCCCAGAACAGGGCGTGTGAGCCGCAGGCCCACCTCAGACCCCAGGGAGTCCCCGGGCAGCCCTGGGAGTGGGTCCTCCTCCTGCACCCACATTACAGATGATAAAAACTGAGGACCCAGAGCAGAAACGCTGCAAAGCCATCCCCAGCTCAGACACTGTGTCTTGCGGTCCCAGCCACGCCCCCTCATTTGCCGATGTCCCCTCCACAGTTTCTAAGCTCCGATGCCTCCTGTGACTTCCCACTGCCTGCTGCATCAACCCCACGCTCCTTGCCTGACAACCAGGGCCCTTCCAAGCCGCTGCCCCCACCCCCAGTTCTCCAGACTCATCCTTTGTTACTCCCCTACTGTCTGAACAAACACGGGCTCCAGCCATGGCTGAGGGACACCCCACATGTCCATTTCGTCCTCCAGCCTTTCCACATGCAAGGCCCTCTGCCTGGTGCTCTCTTCCCCTTTCACTTCCCAGGAGACTCCTATTCATCCATCAAAGCCCAGTTCAGAAGATGCCTCTTCTGATTTAAACACCGGGCACCTTCAGCGGGATGGCAATCCTAAGGTCAACAAGGACTGAAGATAATCTTGACCTTTGCTTAGGTTTTCTATGGGCAGTGGAATCAGTGTGGTAATTCTGGGACAAGTGTGTGAGTATCGTGGGAAACCCCATAAACGACTAAATACAGCAAAGCTGTTTGGAACCAGGGTTCTCTCCAGGGAAGGAGGGAGACCTGGACCTGGAAGGGGAAGGCGAGGAAGAGCCCTGTGTTGTTGGACGAGAATTGGATGAATCAGCGTGAAGTCAGATTGGGTTTTTTCTGTAAAAAAAAAGAGCTTTTCTTCCTTCATTTATATCAATAGGGTTACATCATGCTTTCAGATTTTAGTCAATGGATTATGCTCTATTACTATTATTATTTAATTTTGATGCTTACATTGTCCCAGATTTGGCCAGTGGGACCCCCCTTCGAGATGTCCCCTTGTCCTTTTGACACATCCCCACCATTCTCTGAGCTCTTCCCATCTCTCTGACGGTAGGTTCACGCTCTTCCAGGACTTCTGCCCCAGCCCTGGAACCAAGCATCTCTGAGGGGTGGAAGATGGTATTTTCAGTGGAGGATGGTGTTTAGAACCCAGGATTTAGCTGGTGTTGGGTGTGCTTATCGGTACGGAGGTGTCATTGTTTCCAGGCCCTCTCCGCAGACAGAGGCAGGAAAAAATAAAATAAAATAAAATAATATATATATACACAGATTCATTTTATATATATACACAAATTCATTTTATATATGTATATATATACACACACAAATTTATTATATATACACAAATTCATTATATATGTATAAACTCATTATATATATATGTATTTGTATTTTTAGAAATATATTTCCTGTATACTCGGCCATAAACAGAAACGAAATTGGGTCATTTGTAGCGACATGGATGGACCTAGAGACTGTCATACAGAGTGAAGTCAGTCAGAAAGAGGAAAACAAATATCATATATTAACGCATATATGTGGAATCTGAAAAAATTGGTACAGACGATCTTATTTACAAAGCAGAAATAGAGACACAGACGTACAGAACAAACGTATGGATACCAAGGGGGAAAGGGGTGGGTGGGATGAACTGGGAGTTGGGATGGATGTATATATACTATTGATGTTGTGTATAAAATAGATAACTAATGAGAACCTACTGTATAGCACAGGAAACGCTACTCAATGCTCTAAGTGAGAAGGAAATCCAAAAAAGAGGGGCTCTATGTATACGTGTAGCTGGCTCACTTTGCTGTATGGTATAAAGTAACACAACGTTGTAAAGCAACGATACTCCAATTAAAAAATAATACTAATAAATATATCTCCTATCTCCTAGTGGACAGAGTAAGTCCATATTTCTGTGTCTATCTCTATGTGTATCTATATAGCTATGGGTAATATTAGATTAGATCAGTAGATTAAAAACCATGAACTCCATCAGATAGGAATCGGTGAATGCAGGTGAGGGGTATATGGCTGTCATGCCATTCTCACAGCTTTTCTGAGGGTTTGAAAGTTTTCCATGTACAAAGTTGGTAAGATAGATGTGACCCTACAGAGATCTCAACATTAAAGGTTTAGTTAAAACAAACAAACAAAAAAGTTGAGGGAAAATAAGAGGAAGACTGCAGAAGCCGTCACCTTCCTGGAGCCCCCCGAAAGGCGGGGGGCGGGGGCGGTAGCAGCCCAGGCTCAGCCCAGGGCCCATCCTCGCCTCTCCCCCAGCACCCCCTGCTCCGTCAGCCCAGAGCCCAGGACGACAGGACGTTAGCAGGCGCTTCTTTCCGGCTCCGTTTCAGCTGAGGTTTCAAAGCCTCAGAATGGTGCAGTGAGAGTCGGGGGGAATCCACCCCGCCCCAAATCTGAGGTGCCTGGAGGCAAGAGCGGGGAGGGCTCCCCTTCTGAAGCTGAGTGTGTGTCCTCTGGGGCCTGAGGGCCTGGGGACTGGCTTATTTTCTGTTTTTCAAAGTACTTATTCTGTGCCGAGTCAGGTACAAGAAGGTGAGTAGGTCTCCCTAGGGGCTCCGGCTAGTAGGCGGCAGCGCCGGAAGCCCTGTGCAACGTGGCCCAGAGCCGCTGCAGGGCGTCAGGAGAGCCGCGGGGCCAGGGTGGGCGGCAAGCAGCACATCTTGCTAGGAGGGCACGTGCGCCCAACCCCCAACACCACCCAGGACCCCGCAAGTGGGGCTTGACTGGGAGGACCCCTGGTGGGTTTGGCACCCCGACTGAGGGTGGATGCTGGGGTCTAGAATGAGGGCGGGGGGCAGAGCTGGCAGCTGGGAGGGCATCGGGCCCCATCATGGGCTGCAGCTGGGTCTCCATGGGAGGCCCGTCAAAAGCCACCCCCAGGAGGAGAAGTCATTGTCAGCCACTGGCCATGCCAGGCCATGGTGGAACCGGCCACATAAGCCTATCTCAGTCCTTAGGCCCAAAGGCCTGCAGGGCCGGCCCCCTGGGCCTGCGAGTGTTGCCGCAGATGACAAAGTCACTTCGCAGACGCGATTACACTGAGGATCTCGAGATGGGGAGGTGGGCCCGGGATACCCAGGGGGGCCCGAAATGTGATCTCCAGTGTCCCGTGAGAGGCAGGCAGAAGCAGCAGGTTCCGTGGCCGAAGCAGGATGCCCGGCTGCTGGCTGGGAGACGCCCGACAGGCCGGGAGCCGAGGGCTGCGAGGAGCGCAGCTCAGGAGGCTGAAAAGGCAGGGAAGGGTCTCTGCCCGGGGGGCTCCAGGAGGAGCCAGCCCTGCCCATGCCTTCTCCTGGGCCCAGGTGTGCGGGGCCGGGGCTTCTGGCCTCCAGAAACGTAGAGAATGATCTCATGTTGTGAAGCCACTGAAGCTTGTGGTGACCCATCACAGCAGCCGTGGCAAACACTCCCCCTCCTTCGCGCCGGTCGGGGGTGAGTCAGAAGTGGAAGCTTGAGACCAGGCCATGAGCATAGAGAGCAGGAATTGGCCGCCCCCTCCCATCACAGGCCCAGAGCGGGGTGGCGGCTCGGGGGACCGCAGTGCAGTGAAGTTGGGGCTCAGTAGTTATGAGACTGGACCGGACCCTCGGATGCTCTAGGGAGGCTTGGTGGGGGCTTTTGTTATCAGGCACTGACTGAAACACCCGAGGCACCTCCCTGGGCTCCATCCTGTTGAGGGGAGGGGTGGTTACCAGGAGAACGGAGAGAAAACCCGTTCATTGGAGAACTGCGGCTAAGCCTTTTCCCGCACCCAGCTCCAGCTTAGACTTGCGCGCGCACCCGTGCCAGGACCTCCGCCTGCAGAGGTCAACACTGACAGGACAAGTTCCAGAGGCCCACCGACTTGCTCCTCAGGAAACCGGTGAAAAGTAGGAAAAAAACGAAAACAATATTCAAAGTTTCTGGAAATGGCCCACAGGGTAAACAGAAATGAAGAAACATCTGTTCAAGAACAGTTAACGAAAATTTGATAAGAAAGGTGAGAGTCTGTGATATTTGAACCAAAACCACTGCCTCCCTTCAGTCTCCTCCCAGCTCTGTGAGTAAACTCTCCGCTCCAGGCTGTCCTGCCCAGAGCTTAGAGCTCTTCCCCCCAGACCCAGAACACAGGGCCCCTCCCCCAGACCCAGAGCACAGGGCCCCTCCCCCAGACCCAGAGCACAGGGCCCCTCCCCCAGACCCAGAACACAGGGCCCCTCCCCCAGACCCAGAACACAGGGCCCCTCCCCCAGACCCAGAACACAGGGCCCCTCCCCCAGCTCCCAGTAGGCCTTTCTTCCAGGGAGGAGCAGGGTGTCAGCATTTCTCATGCTACTCTTGGCCGAGACTAAGACTGCGGTGGGGGGGGGGCAGGGCGGGCAGGCGCCCCTCTCGTGGAACAGGGCTCCACCCTGAGTGCAGCGCGCTGGGCCTCCTGGCACCCTGACCACCTTGGCCTGGCTCCACCCTGAGTGCAGTGCGCTGGGCCGCCTGGCACCCTGACCACCCTGGTGGTCCCTCATGGCTCCTCGGGCTGCTGCCCCCGCCTCCCCTCTGACCTCAGGTCCTGAAGCAGGGGTGTTACTCAGAGAGCAGCTTCCCTGGGTTTTGCCTGGGGATAGAAACCGGCCATAAAACGAATAGCTCCTACTCTTCTTCCTGAAGGGACTGACCTCATTTGCAACAGAGAGGGAAGAAATTCAAGCCTAAAGGTCTCTCAAGAACAGTGTCGGTTCTGCGGGGAGGTAACGCATAGAGGGGAAGAGTCAAGACACAGGTGAAACTGTAGGCAGGCTAGTTTTCAGGAGGCAATTGGGGAATGATCCCAGTAGCAGGAGCCTGTCTGGAGTCAGAACAAATAATGGATCACCCACTATTCCTTCAAAAAAGCCAGAATTTGACGGGGTTCGTTGGTAGAGTGATTTATGACCCAGGGTGTTTGAAAGTTGCTAAGAGAATAGATCTTAAAAGTCTTCATCACAAGAATAAAAAAAAAAAAGGAGTTTTTTAATTAAAGAGAGAACCCTCTTGTCAGCCCAGCAGCTCAGCCTGGCTAAACCAGAAATTCTCTGTTATCCAGTGGTCAGACCACACTTTCCCCAGGAGGTCTGAACCCCTTCCAAGTCTGTCCTTCCTGGGGTACCCTCCCTCAGCACTAGGGTATCATAGGGCTCCCCTTATATGACTCTTTGATCATAGTTAATAATTCATTCTCCAGACTTCTGTTTAAACTGTGGTGTCCCGTCTCCTGATTAGACCCTGACTGCTACCCTCAGCAGATCCTGCACCGTGTGGACCTTCTTGAAAAAACTACTCAGTAATGAAATCTGACCAACCTATGAGGAATTGAAATAAAGAACTCAGAAACAGAAAAGCCATGAGAAAAGGACTGAAGGTGAGTACTGAATCTCTTGTAACACAGAACGAGAACAAAATTGGGAGATTCAGGGCTGCAGAACAGAACGTGAATATGTTATAAATGTTAACAAAGTGAAAGCAACAGAAGTTGCCAGGGTTCAGTGTAAAAAAAAAAATCCAGTCACCTTATCTTTTGTTGCAGAGAGACACTCATATTTAAAATTTAAATATATGGTTAAAAAAAAAAAAGCACTGCAATGTGTTAATGACTTTCATAAACTCTATCTTAACCATACAGGGATCCTTTTGAAGGAACTCACTTTTTTTCTCTTTCCTTTCTCCTCTCCTCCCCTCCCTCCCCCTTCTCATTTAATTTTCATTTTGGAACTCACATTTCTTATGGTTAAAAAAATGGATCGCAAATCCAGAATTTATTCAGTTTCACTGTTCTTCTTCATATTCTAAATTGCAATAAAATTAATTTTAAGACTTTTATTTTAAGAGCAGCATAGGCTGATATCATAGGAGAAAATCTAGGTGATTGTATTGTTCCAATTATATGACATTACAGAGAAGGTATCAGAAAAAGGTCAGTTGTTGACAGGGGCTCAAGGAGGGAGGGATGAATACATGGAACACAGGGGTTTTGGGGGCAGTGAAACTAATCCACATTCTATTATAATGGTGAATACATGTCATTACACATTTGTCAAAATCCACAGAAAGTACAACACAAAAAGTGAACCCTAATGTAAACTATGAACTTTATTTAATAATTACATATCAATATTGGCTCATCAATGGCAACAGAAGCACCACGCTATAATGCAAAATTTTAATAGGAAAATGGGGGAGGGGAGCGTGAGGGGATATATGAGAATTCTCTGTACTTTCTGTTAAATTTTTCTATAAACCTAAAACCGCCACCCCCAATCTATCAATTAATTTAAAACTACACACACAGGACTTCCCTGGCGGTCCAGTGGTTACGACTGTGCGCTTCCACTGCCTGGGGCACGGGCTGGATCCCTGGTGGGGGAAGTTCCACATACGGTGGTGCGCCCCCCCCCAAAAAAAAAAAACAAAAACATGGATCACGACCACCCCAGTCTTAATAGTCACATCTGTCCATCTATTCATTCATCCTGTAGAAGTGAGTGAAGCTGGGTAGGGAGAGTTCTATAACATACTCATGAAATATACAGTCCCACTTGTGACGATTTTCTACTGCTTATTTTCTTTGTACTTTCTACATTGCTTGGATTTCTTTCTGTTGAGCGTGTATTACTTTTATAAAAACAAGTCATTAGTTAAAGTAAAGGAAAAATTTTAATGAATTAACGTGACATTTCTTGCACCCCTGAGTCTGTGGGCAAATATTCATATATTTATATTTGTGTATGTGTGTTTGCAGTTTAAAAAATTTGAAAGACCACAAAGCTTTATACCAATACCCTTATGCGTATTGATGAGAAATAGGATTACAGGTAGCTTTCTTTAAGTGCAGTTTCTTCTTTTTTTCTTTTTCTTTCTCTCTTTTCTTTTTTCTGCATTGTTTAATCACGTCGTTTCTCTGCTCCCACGCTATCCGTAACACACACCAGCTAAATAAAAATTCCTTAAATTATTCCAGCTCATTAAATGGCCTCCCCCAGCTCTTGCGGGAGGTCCGCAGTTCCGATCTGAGATGAAGTTGGGGGGAAAACGGGTTCAGAAACTATATGTTATAGTCACGGTATTTAACCTTTACAGGAACCCGTTTTACCGGGGGAGGGATTAAAGAGCAGCCTGGGTAGCGGAGGATCCGGGGATCGAACCCAGGTCTCCGGGCGCCGCAGCTTCTCTGCCCGGATCCCTCGGTCGGCGGCCGCGTCTGCCGTCCCGCGGCGTCTCTCGGAACTGCAGGCCGCCTTCCTGTCTGAGAAGTGAGGCGGGGTCTGGGGTCCCACGGGGGGCCGAGCCACCGGGGCGGGGCCAGGCCAGGACCGGCGGCCTTTCCCTCACGTCGTTCGTGCAACTCTCGGACTTGCACCCCACCTCCCTGAATTAATACTACTTAATAAAACTGAAAACGGTTCCACGAACAGATGACTTTTTTTTGAGGACGTCTTTTAAAATGTCAGTAAATGTATTGAAAGGGGGAACTTGCACATCGATACTCTTAAGTGGAAAATTAGTGTCGCTTTACACATAATAACAAGGAAACTACGATAAAACCAAGACAGTTATGAAATGCTGTTGGATACTGTTTCTCACAAACAGTATGAGGTGAGGGAGCCACAGGAGGACCTGGGGGAGGAGCATTCCAGGCAAAGGGAAGAGCAGGTGCAAAGGCCCTGCGGTGGGAGTGTGCCGGGGGTTTGAGGAGCAGCAAGGAGGCTGCTGGGTGAGGGGTGGGGGATGAAACCAGGAGGCGACAGGCAGGGGGATGGGGGCACATTCACTGAGAAGCTGACAAGGCTTAATCTGCAGTCCCCTCAGCTGCCCAGGTGTCCAAGGCACTGGCAGGGACCTTGCAATGAGCTCACGTAGTCACAGCTTTTGTAAAATGTGCAAGTGCCTTTCCTGGAGCTCCGCGTAGTTCACAGCAAACCATTAAAAAAGGCAATTTAAACATTTTGCAAGAAACCCAGGTTGGAGATGTAATATGTTTCCTTTGATAATATTTCATTAATTTCCTATATTTAATTCATTTTATCCTCTTAGGAAACGTTTCTACGGAAGTAGCATATGCCTACGGGAAAGGGCCCACGTCAGAAACGAGGGGCTCGAGGAGTGTCCACAGAGGCCCGGCTCCCTGCCCGCCTCCTGCTTCTGCCAGCATGTCCCCGGGGTGACCACCCTCCTCAGTCCTCACAATGCAGATTCTGCTTTCCGAAGAGCCTGTACCAGACAAGCAAGCTATCTTCATCACAACTGGTTAATGTTAATGTTAACATCTCTGCCACTCTGACTCCCCCTTCCTCCCAGGTTCCCTCGTTTTGTATTTGTAAGGTTGTATTATTTTTCATAGAGAAGGCCTCCTATATTACAGAAGCTTCAGGCCCCACAAAACCTGGCCCTGCCCTGAGGGTGGTTCACAGACCACAGTAAGACTCCAAGCGAGCTGGGAGCCCAGACAGGGTCCTGAGAGGCGGAGGGATGAGGTCCGACTTAGGGGTGAGGATCAGACTGGGGACACGGGTGGAGGACAGGAGGCAGGTGAGGAGGGCACTGCGTAGTCCAGGTGACCGGCATTGGGGGTGGGGAGGGGGCCAGGGTCAGGTTCCAGGTACCCTCTGCTGGTAGCCAATGGGATTCGCTGGTGGACCCAACGCAGGGAATGAGAGAGAGAGAGTTCTTGCCCTGAGCGATGGGCAGGACAGAGGTTTTAGAGATGGAGCAGCTGGTGGGTGGAAAGACGGGGAGCTTGTTTCCAGATGCGGGGGTGTTGGATGCATGAGCCTGGAGTCCAGGGTAGAGGCCAGGTGCGAGGATGATATTTTAGGAAATGTCAGGGCATAGCTGGTGCTTAGAGACTCTGGACTGAGGCCACCCCGGGGGGTTAGGGTAGACAGAGAAAAGGCCCAGGGTGCGCCAGGGGCACCCCGACATGAACAGACCAGCAAGAGGAGGAGGAACCAGCCGAGGAGCCCGGAGAACTGCAGGCAGTGAGGGACGCGTGTGCTACACACTGCCGTCCACGACAGCCCGAGGCGGGGACACCACTGTCCTCCCCTCCCTCTGAGGCCGACCCCGGCATGCCCCACCCGAAGCACCTCCTCCGCCACGCTCGGTCCCCCTCCTTTCTTTATAGCGCACCCTGTGAGGCTTGACTGTCGTTAGGCCCTGTCTGCGTCCTGAGGCGGTGACTTTGCTCATCCTCGGATCTGCCGAATCCCAGGGCCCAGCTCAGCACCGGCACCCCGAGGTGCCGAGGCTGCGTCCCCGGCGGGCGGAGGGCGCTGCGATCTGAGAGTCGCCGCCAGAGGGCGCGCGGAGCTGGAGCGCTGACCCCGCGGGAGAGGGCCCGAGCGTCCGCACCGGGTGGGGCGGGGAGATCCGGCCGGAGCGGGCTTCCCGGAACAGGAAGACCTTTACCAGCCTGAGGAGGGAAGCAGGATGAGGGCAGGCTTCCCAGGAGGTGACCTTTTAACTGTCCTGCAAAATGAGTGGGTGGCGGGCTGGAGCAGGGCCGGGGGTGCCGGTGGAGCCGGTGGAGGGGCGGGAAGGCCCGGGAGGCCCCCCGAGACTGGGGAAGCGCGCAAATGGCGGAGCGTGGCGATCTGGGCGGACGGCAGGAGTGGCCCCCGGAGCGGATGCGTGCTCAGGCCCCAAGGGGTGGAGGCACGGGGGTAGGCGCAGCGCTTAGCCTTTCCGGTGCTCGTGGACATGGGGACATGGGTGCTCCCACGTGGGTACCCCCCTGCTGGCACCCCCCCAGGCCCCAGCTCCCCCTCCCGGGGAAGGTCTGGACAATGGGGTCCACCTCCTGCCAGGGAGCGTCCCCAGGGCCCACACAGCGCCCTCTCGCCTGCTCCGCATGGAGGGGTGATGAGGGCAGAACCGTTGCTCAGTCACAGCCTGAGGTCAGAGCCTGGAGTCCCTGCAGGTCAGAGGTCAAGGGGCTGCCTGCACGGCTGGAAGGTCTGTGGTCCCTGGGGGAGAAGCTGAGGTGACCTCATCCTGAGAGCCTGGAGAGATGGGGGAGGGGTGGCAGGGGGCCCGGCAGGGGGGCGCCTACAGTACCGGTACCGGTACCGGGCCTGCCTCACCGAGGCTGCCTCTCCCCAGGCCTGAGTCTGATCCCCTTAGAACGGGGTGTCAGGGGGTGGCCTGAAGCCCCTTCCAGGTCCTGGGTCCAAGGCCAGCAGGAAGGATTGGCTCCTTGGGTGACCCTCCCACTTTCTGCTGCAAGAGCTTCCAGGGACAGTGTCGTCAATGATAATAATAATAATAATAAGCTTTTTTTTTTGATGTTTCTATATTCCAGGAACTTTCCTAAATGATGAATATATTTATTAGATAAGTTATCCCTCAACAATACCATGACTGAAGAGCAATTTTTGGTCCCCTTTTACAGATGAAAAAACTGAGACTCTGAGAGGGAAGTGACTTGTCCAAAGCCACGCAGCTGGGATGGAGCAGTCTGGCTCCAGAGCCTCTGGGTCCCTAAGGTCACTTGAGTGACCCAGCCCCATACCACGGATAAAGAGACCCTGAACCTCGCCTGCTCTGAGCACAGAGACAAATGTGGCTCCAGACGTCTCCCCCCAGGCAGAGTGACCTGGAGGGCCCCCTTCAGCCTGGGGACTGCTCATCTGGATGTGGGCGGTCAGCCCTGGGTCAGGGGATGGTGCCCAGCTGCCTGGGTGCTGGCACTGGAAGGGCAGCTGTGGGTTAAAATCCTAACTGTACCACTCTCTGCTGTGTGATTCCAGGCAAGTCACCTAGCTGCTCTGTGCCTCAGTTTCCCCTTCTGTAGAATGGAGATGATCATAGCACCTCCTTTAGAAGATTGCTGTGAGGATTAGATAAAACAATACACATAAAGCACCTGACTGCTGGTTTTCCATGGGCTCCCCTTGGGTGCCTCTGACTCTCCTGGTTCCGGAAACTCTCACCTCACATTCAGCAGGGTGTGCAATAAACCTGGCCTCCCAGAGTCAGAGACATCATAAACCAATGTTTCTGAATCCTCCCACTGGTCCTCTGGGGTTGGTATTATTTATCAGACCCCCTCTATGAAGGAAGAAACAGAGGCACTTGCTCTGCAGCCAGAAAAAGGAATGAAGAGGGTGGCTGTGTGTAGATAGGAAGTGATCTCTCTTTTTTTTTTTTTTTTTTGGCCCTGATGCTTGGCATGTAGGATCCTAGTTCCCCGACCAGGGATCAAACCCGTGCCCCCTGCAGTGGAAGCACAGGGTCTTAACCACTGGACCGCCAGGGAAGTTCCAGGAAGTGATCTGTAAGTGATATTGTTAGATACTGTAAATTGGGGGGAAACCAAGCACAGAACCATGTGTAGTATATGCTCACATTTGAGTGAAAAAGGGGTTGGGGGATGGGAAATATAGGTAGATTTGCCTGTATGTGTATAAAATATCTTTAAAGTTTTAAACAAGGTATTGATTATCCCTAAGGAGAGGAACTGGGTGCCTGGGGTCTGTGGTGGAAAGGAAACTTCTTGCTGCACACTTATGAAATACCTAAAAGGATGTTTTTGTGTGTTATTTCCCTGAAATACGGTCAGGGAGGGGAAAATGAATACATTAATTCAGGGGTGCAAATTCCAACACCAACAAGAGCTAGACAAGAAATATGAATACATGTGAGACATTAGGGAGTGGTGGAGACTGAGGTAAACAGTCATATCCTCCCTAAAGGGGCAGCCCTGCTCAGCGTCAGCAGATTGCTGCCCTGCAGAAGTGCAGGCAGACCCAGAGTTGTCAGAGCTTCCAATTTCCAAAGAGAAATGGAAATGGGGTGGCCACTGGATGAGGAAGACGGTCAGGGCGACTAGGAGAGCACGGCCTAGGGAGTGGCCGAGCTAGAGGGAGATGGAGGGAAAGTGTGGCAGCCACCTCAGCTGACTGACCTATCTGCCGTCCCCAACACCCCCTCCCCTGCTGCCTTCCACTTAAGAGACTGGAGAGGAGAAATGACTCACCTTCCCAGTCTCCCTTGCAGTTAGGAGTGGTCATGTGACACAGTTCTGGCTGATTAGATCTAAGGAGTCGGTGGGGTGGGGGGGGTAGGGGTAGGTTGTGGAAAATTATTTCTCTTCATGATAAAAGGGACAAATGCTTTCAATTCACCCTAAACTTAACCATTCCTCTTCCTTCCTGTCTTAAATGTGAATGCAGATGCAACACCAGGTGCACTAGCAGCCATCTTGCAAACAAGAGGGAAAAGCCAAGAAATTGCAGAGTTATGAACCCTGACATCACTGGCCTGGTAAAGCAACGCCAGCCATAGCTGATCTCCAAGCTCATTGGGATGGGGGAAAATGCACTCCTATTTGTCTGAGCCACTCTGATCTGTTTTCTATTTTTTGTAGTCAAACACATGCTTAAGTTTATAGAAGATGTGTATTTGATAGAACTCAGAAGATGTGGGAAAGGGAGAGGCTAGGCAGGAGTCTGTGGAGGGTGAAGGTCAAGGGGAGAGGCTTTTTTTTTGGAGGTGGGGGAGGCCTGATCATGTTTCTATAATAACTGGCATTTACTGAAAACACACTATGTGCTCTACACAGCGATTTACACAGATCAACTTATTTCTCACTGCAGTCCTCGGAGCCAGGCCCGGCTATATCCCCACCATAGGGGAAGGAACCGCGGCTCAGAGAAGCAAAGCAGCTTGTCCAGCCGTACGGCTACAGGAGATGCAACAGGATTTGAACTCAGGTAGAAGCTGTCCAGCCCAGGATGGACTCTGACTCCTCCACCCGCCCCTCTTGAGGCCTCAGTCTCCGTGTGAAATGGGGCCCGCCGGGAGCTTGCCATTCTGTGGTCCCGGTGGGGGCGGAGATGTACCAGCGCGAGGAGCTGGCCTCTGCTGGCCCAGCAGGCCAGGGCTCAGCCACGCAACCACCAACCCTTCCACCTCCGTGTCTGGTCCCTCCCTGCTGGTGGGATGAAGGGGCTGGGGCTGAGGCAGCCCTGACGGGGCGGGGCGGTGCCTGGAGGGCGCAGCCTGGGCCTCTGGGCTTCAGTTTCCTCTTGTCTGTGACGGGCACCGAACAACACGCCCGCAACATGCCTGCGGCTGCTTGGAAGGCTCGCAGTGATCTAAGCCTGGCTGGCGTGGAGGGAGGGTGTGGACCTCCCCGGCCACCCCCTCTTGGGGCCCCAGGTCGGCCCCAGGCATTTCCGGGCAGCCTCAGGAAATACCAGCACACACACACACACACACACACACACACACACGCACACACACACGCACACACACACACACACACACACACACACACACACACACACACCCCCCAACGCTGTCGGCGGGCCTGACGCCACCACCGACCTCCCCGCCCCTCCCCCACCTCCTTCCGGCCGTGGGCCTTGCTCACTTCTCCACTCTGGGCAGTGCCTGGCCACCCGCGCCACCTCCTACACAGTCTGCGCCTCCTCCCTCCTCTCCCACCAGCTCTCTCTTCCTCGCTTGGAGAAGGGGGCATGGGGGGCAGGCTGGGTTCCCGGTAACTGGGTGGCAATGCCTGACAGGCTAGGCGACTGTGATTTGGAAAATGGAAAAAGTTTCGGGGGATTCTGAAAACCTAGAAAAGGAATCACGGAAGCAATCAGGGAAGGCTGCCTGGAGAAGGTGACATTTAAGTCTGGTCCTGGGAGACCAAGCCATTGACCAAGGACAGGTGTTTAAGACAGTAATTCATTTATTTGATGAGCATTTATTGAGCACTTGCTGTATGCCAGTCCCTGTGCTAGGCCCTGAGTTCTGGCAGGAGGCAAGATAAGTTTGTGCTCTCATGGGGTTTGCAGTGGGGGAGTCAGAGGCTGCGAAGGGGTAAGCACTACCTCACAACCTGGGCTCAGAGCTACTGAGGGAGGGTAGGTGAGGGGAGGCGAAAGGTGCCAAGCTAGTCTGAGGAGGGTGGCCAGTGGGGGCTTACCCCCCCGTCGCTCAAGGGCATTGCACGACTGACGAGGAAACAGCAAGTGCAGAGGCTGAAAGTCAAGAGGTTGCAGGAGGCTCGGCTGCCGGACAGTGGACTAGGTCAGGAGGCCGCTGAGGACAGGGCAGGGAAGTGACTGGCCCGAGGTCACAAGTGCTGGAACGCAGGGACGTGAGCTCAACCGCAGGAGTGTCCGTAACTTTTTAAAGCGGGCCTGCAGCAGCACAGCCTCTGGAACAGCGGCCAGCCTTCCTTGGTAAGGCTGCCGGGCCACCTGGGGCAGGTGCTGATGGAGGGGACAGCTAACTGCCGGGAGGAGACGCTCCCTGAGAGAGGCAGCAGCGGAAGTCGCCGTGGGATGGTGGAGGCTGTGGTGGCTGTGATGTGGTTTCTCTGCAGCCCCTGTGGTAACAGCCCGGGTGCTGTGCCTGCCCTCCTGTGGCTTCTGCGCCCACACACAGCCCTCGCTGGGGCTCCCTTTGTTTCCTGGAGCTCGGACTGGGGCTGGGAGCCGAGCCGGGACCCTTCTCAGTCCCAGGAGACCTCCCACTCTTTATCTCCTGGGTAGCTGCGGCCTCCTTTATAGAAGAGGAAACTTGGGTTCAGAGAGGGATGGTGGCTGGTCCAGGACCACACAGCAAAGGGCTATGTCAGGCACCCACAGCTGTGGGCTCCTGCCTTTCCCTGTCTCATTTCCCCACGCCCCTAAAGGTGATTCCTGGGGTCACATCCAAACGAACAGCTTCCATTTGAATCCTTGTTCTAGCTGGGCTTCTGGGGCACCAAATGCAGACATTTGGTCAGTGAGTCTTCGAACGTGATTGAACGTGAGCACAGTTCCCATGCACACAGGACAGGCTCTAAATGCTATTTACAGCCCCCATTTGTGCAGGGAGTGGGTAAGGACACAGACTCTGGGTTCCAAGCCCCGGGCTGCCGCCTCTTAGCTGTGTCACTTCGCTTTCCTGTGCCTCAGTTTCCTCATTGGTGAAATGTGATCATGAGGGTGACTTCCAATTGGATCGGTGTGAAGGTTAAAGGAGATAACAGGGAAGTGCTTAGGAGAGGCGCCCGCCGTGGTGGTGTCCATGTGGGTGTGCAGTGGTCCCGCCCAGAGGAGGTGGCCTCCCAGACCTGCTCCATCCTTGCAGTCGCCCTGTCAGGCAGTGCTTCACACTTCACTTCACAGATGGGAGACTCGCAGGGTGGGCTTGGAGGTCGCCCAGAGTCTCCCAGCTGGTGAGCGGTGGTGTCGGGACCGGAACCCAGGCCAGGCTGGCTCAGACAGCCCTGGAGTTCCCCCGTGGACAGGGCAGGCTGTGACTCAAGTCTGCAGGAACGTGGGCAGGCGTGTAGGGTAAGCGGGCTTCGGGGTTGGAGGTGAGGAGGGGGCCCCATTTTAGCGGCCGGGGAAGCCCGCTGGGGAGACGGACTGAGGGGATGGAGCGCGGGGCGTCCGGGTGTGTGGGGAAGGGCATTCCTGGCAAAGGGAACAGTGAACAGTGAGGGGAGAATGGGGCGGGGGCAGGGTGGGCAAGGCCTTCTAGCCGCGGTGGGGCGGAGCTGTGGATTTGATTCTAAGTGTGCTGCAAAGTCCTTGGAGGGCTTGGGAGGGGTGACGCTATTCGGTCTCCCCAGCAGCCCTGCCAGCAAGGCACGGCAGCCCCGCCCCCGAATTGCGCTGAGGAAGCTGAGGCTCTGAGGGTCCCTGTGTGCTGCCTTGGTCTGGGGTCACCAGCACAGAGCGGCGGCTGGACTCTGGCTCCCAAAACTGCCCTTTGTGCGGGGTGCTGGGTGCGGCTACAAGTGCCCCCCACCCCCTGACCACAGTCGGATACCCCTGGGCTTGCGGAGTGCCTTCCCCCAGGGACGGCCTGTCTTCCATCGTTTACTCTCAACAAACATACTCGGACATTATGCTCCATCTGAGCATAATTATGCCCGAACTGTGCAGGGGGAGGAGACACAGGTAAGAAAGGCCAGTCCCAGCTCCCCCTCTCCAAGAAGCAGCTGGACCACAGGGTGCAGAACCTACACTGTCACCGTCCAGGAGGCAGGTGCCAGGATGCCTGTGGCATCCAGGAAGGCTCCCAGGGCAGGGTGACCACTGGATCTTAAAAGCCTATGGGCACTCAGCCAGGCTGACTTCTAGAAGGATCCCAAAAGGTGGAGAGGGGGCTCCAGGCAGAGGGAACAGCACACACGGATGCTCAGAGGCCAGCAAATGCAGGCCATCTGGGGAACCCCGGGTGATGGGTGGGTCTGCAGTGCAGGATTGGGGGAGCCGTGCCCACCGAGGAGCCTGGAGAGGGCAGCCCCTCCCGTCCCCTGGAGCTCAGTATCCTCGTCCACCCAGTGTGGAGCACAGGGAAGCAGAGAGACCAGGGATGGGGAGAGGCCTGGGAGGGCCCAGGCTGGTTGGCAGGTCCCAGCTGGCCACTTGTCCCTCCCACCCTTGTCTGGGTGTGTGGGCAGCTCACAACCGGCACTCAGATGAGGAGAACGAAGATGCAATTTTCTTATCTTTCCGTTCAGTACCTCTTAGGCACATTTGCAAAAATTGATAACAGAGTTGCTTTATGTACCCGCCTTTTTTTTTTCTTATAAGAAATTAAAGAAAAAAGTGGAAGGAAGGAAAGAAGGAAGGGAGGGAGGGAGGAAAGGAGGGGAGGAAGAAAATACGGAAGAGAAAGAAGCAGAAGGAAGAAAAGGATTGGGAGAATTTTTTTTTTTTTGGCCTTTTTCTGGTCCAAGTGGCCCCTATATTTGCATTGTCTCACCCTTTGGAGTCACTGGCCTCCTGCCCTCTTTTTTGGGACCCCTCTGTCCTGGCCTTTTAACTGCTGTGTCTGTGTCAGCCTCTCCACAGCCTGGCAGCCCTGGCACAAGCCTGCTTCAGCCCCAGCCCCAGCTTCACTAGGAGGAGCTCAGAAAAGGACGGTTGCATGAATGAGCAGAGGTGAGCCGTGTTCCCAGGTCTCTGGATAGACTGGTAGATCCAGACACTCCACTCCATCAGCCCTGGCCCAGGGCCCCTTCCTGAGCCAAGGCCAGCCCCCTTGGCATTCTTCCAGCAATGCTGAGCCCTGAGCGGATGCGGACCCACTCTGCATGTGGCCCCGGACTAAGTGCTTTCTCCATCATCTCAGTACCGTGAAGCAGGTATGATCGGGCACCACATTGCATTGAGTTGCCCTGTGTTCTTAGTCTCCTCAAGTCTGTCGTCTTAGTCTTTCTTGTGTTTCACACAGTGGCAGTTTTGAAAAGTACTGGCCGGGTATTTGTAGAATGTGTGCATGCATTTTTTAAGGATTATTTTAAAAGATGTTTATTAAATAAAAAAATAATAATGAAGAAAGAGAGAGGAACAAAGAGAAAAAGAGATGTGAAAAGAAAGAGAAAGGAAGGAAGGAAGGAGAGAAGGAAGAGAGGGTGAGAATAGGTGAAAGAAGAGAAAAAGGAATGAAAGACTGAGGTTTCTGTCAAAAGAAAACTTTGCTTGAGGCAACAGTGGAGATGTCCTTTAAGAAAGCTAGGATGACTCCAGCCTGACTCAACAGCTCTTTTTTCTGGGCTGGTCTGAACTGGTCTGAACAATTAAGAATTGTGTCTGTGAGGTGACAGAGAGGGCTCCTTGCAGCTCCAGCTTTTATGGTTCCTGGTGCCCACAATCTCAGAAGCAGAGAGGGCCACTTTTCTGATGGTTTTAGCTAAAATCCTGGGGATGGCTCTTATTGGCTGGGCTTGGGTCACCTGCCCAGCCCTGAACCAATGACTATGGCCATGGAGATGCGAATTCTCATTGGCCAGCCAGGGATACGCCTGCCCCTGACTGCTAATGGAGAAGGCCGCTCTCAGCAGCTGCAGAGTTAGCAGAAGTACACGAGACCAGGCTCCTTCCGGCCGTTCTCTCCCGACTCACCCCCTGCTGCTTTCTTCTGTGCATCCTGCGGTCCAGCTAAATCGCACCACTGGTCCATGATTCCTGCCGCTTGGTCCTTTGCTCAGCCTTGCCCCTCCCAGGGTTGCTCTCCTTGCTCTCCTCATAACCAATAATTAGCCACCCTTAAAGTCCCAGCTCAAATGCTGCTGGCTGGGCAGATGTCTCTGAGTTATAGCTTTGGGTGATTATGTTTCAACTCTTGATCCAAGCTGAAAGCTTTATGAAGGTGGAGGGCATCCAACTCATCCGGAAATTTTCTGAGGAAGGAGAAACAGCACCTTTCTGAGGCCAGAGAAGAGCTATGGCCTCTTCAGGGCACTCAGCCAGTCTCTAGCGGAAAGATATCATGCACATTTCCAAGGAAGGGGTGCTCTGTAGGAGATGCCAGTCCCTGACTCCCTTGGACTTGGGTGAAAATCTCAGCCCTGCCGCTCCTCAGCTGGGCCAGCAGTTATTATTCCCCTCTCTGTGCCTCATTTTGCTCTTCTGTAAAATGGTGAGAGTGCCTACCTATCTCACAGGGCAGTGGTGACTATTTACTGAAATAATGAATGTAAGATGTTTCAGTCCGTGTAGATTCAAGAAAACAATTTAAAATGGTCTGTTGGGACTTCCCTGGTGGCACAGTGGTTAAGAACCCGCCTGCCGATGCAGGGGACACGGGTTTGAGCCCCGGTCCGGGAAGATCCCACGTGCCGCGGAACAGCTAAGCCTGTGCGCCACAACTACTGAGCCTGTGCTCTAGAGCCCGCGTGTCACAACTACTGAAGCCCGCACACCTAGACCCCGTGCTCTGCAACAAGAGAAGCCACCGCAATGAGAAGCCTGTGCACCGCAACCAAGAGTAGCCTCTGCTCGCCGCAACTAGAGAAAGCCCAAGCGCAGCAACTAAGACCCAACGCAGCACCCGCCCCCCCCCCCCAAAAAAAATGTCCTGTCTTGGACTTCCCTGGCCGTCCAGTGGTTAAGACTCTGTGCTTCCAATGCAGGGGGTGCAGTTTTGATCCCTGGTTGGGGAGCTAGGATCCCATATACTGTGGGGCGTGGCAAAAAAAAAAAAAAAAGCCTGTCTTGTTTGCAGTGTTCATCACTATAGGGGAAAAAGCCTGAAGAGTAATGGCCAATAAAAACTACAAATGTTGGGTCATAGGTTGAAAACTATATATTAAGCTGATGCTGTTTTTTATTGTTACACTTCATGCCCTTAGGAGGAAATCTAAGGAAGTTCATAGAAACTTGTTTTTGAGGCATGATGAGAGGTTTGGAAGAAAGGTGTTATGCAAATCTCAACAGAATTATCAGTAAATACTGCAAATATAAAAGCCTGGAGGGACTTCCCTGGTGGTCCAGTGGTTAGGACTCCGCGCTTCCAATGCAGGGAGCGCAGGTTCGATTCCTGGTCGGGGAACTAAGATCCCGCATGCCGCGTGTGGCATAGCCAAAAAAAAAAGCCTGGAGCTGTCAAAAAATTAAATGAAAACTCTTTGGAAATGGGGTTGATGACTGTTATTGTCAGGAATCTGGGTACCAAGTCAACTGGCTGAGGGAGAAAAGAGAATTCAGCCGAGTGGTGGTCGTGCTGTCCACCTCCCCAGTGTGTGTTCCCCTCCTATAACTGTCCCCCCAACTCCAGGGGCGAGCCCTGATGGGCCTAAGCCAATCACCCTGATTCCTCATCGAACTCCCCACAGTTGGCTCAGGGATGGGCCGGTGATCCAAGTTCTTCCAATCAGAGCAAGGCTCAGGTATTAGTTTCTGGTTTGGAGAGAGAGACACTGTCTTATCCTGGCTACGGATGTGAGGCATGGATCTGCTACAGCCAATTTAGAGCCAATCAAGACACCAGCCCAGGAAAAGTATGACATGCTTAGGAGGTATATGTCAAAGAAATGGAGCCAGAACCTTGATCACCTGAAGCTCTAGCTCTGGAGATTTTAGTTAAATGAGCCAATTAAAACCGATTATCATTTAAGCCAGTTTGAGCTGGGTTTTCTTTTGAAATAGTTGTAACTGATGTATTGGCTTATGTGCTAAAAAGTCCAGGGTTAAAACTTCAGGCATGGCTGGTTCCAGGTGTTCAAACAATGTCAGGAGAAATCTGTCTTTTCTCTCCTCCCTCACCCCTCTGTGTTGGCTTCATTCGCAGCCTGGCTCTCCCAGTGCGAAGCTGCCTGATGGGGATGGGGGCGATGGGGCGGGGGAACAACCTCCTCTTTTTCAATGGTTTCTGTGGAAGTCCAGGGCTTGAGTCTCACTGGCCCATCTTAAGTCATATGCCCATTGCTGAATGAATCACTATGACCAGGAGAGATGCACTGATTGGCTTGGCCTTGATAATGTACCTGGAGCTGGAGGGGAGAGGGGATCTCTCCCTTCAGTCTACTCAAATTCCTCTCAAGAGTTTGGCTTTCGAATCAGGCCTGACTTTTCTAGCATTGCGACTTTTTAGCTGTGTGATTATGGGCAAATCGCTGAATGTCTCTGAGCCTCAACTGTAAATTAAGGATAACGATGGTCTAAAACTCAGGGTTGTTATGAACAGGAAATGAGATAATCCATGCAGAGCGTTTGCGCAGTGCTTGCTGCTTTGGTGTTATTATTATTATTGCTATTTCCTAGCTCCAGTACCTCTACTTCAGGAAGTCGGCCTTGATCGCTCCTTCTCTGCAAGAGAGAAGGAAGTTTCCTTTTCAGCTCTCACAGCCCTTTCTCTTATGATTTCCTATGTGACTTCAGCGTTTTAGTTTCAGTCTGTGTTCATGACTCCTCTGCTCTTTTAGACTTCCAGCGCCTGGAGGGACCAGGATAGCTTTATCCCTGTATCTTAATAAGAACCACCGCTAACACCCATCTACAGCTTCCAAAGCATTTCCTACTCTGCTTTTTCATTATGAACTTTAATGCAATCCCTCAAGGTGGGAGGGATTATTACTCTTCACAGATGGGGAACCTGAAGACTGGGGGGAGTAACAGGCCAAGGTCAGGCAACGAACTGGTGGACAGGAAGTTAGCTGTTGTGGGGCTCCCAGCATAGGCTCTTCCTGCTGGACAAGTGGTTTTGAATCTAGAGTTCAAACCTTGGTGGAAGATCCCTGAGACCCGCTGCCTCTTCACTAGGAGAAGGTGCATGCTGTCTTCACAGCATGCCATCTCTCTCTGCCCGTAGTGCCTCCCCCTTGAAGCCCTCCTTCCCCAACCCCAGAGACATCCCCGTCTGCACAGCCATCTCTTTCCGCTTCTGAAACCCTGAGCAGCTCCCATCACTGGGCCTCATTATCTGAAACCGGCCTCCAAACCCTAGGAAGGACAGGTGGGCATGCCTGCTCCAGCCTGTGCCCCGGGCCAGCTTTGGCCTTGGACAAAGCACATGGCTTATCCTCCTCTGCGAGACAACTTACATGCTGTGGGTTCGGTAGAACCTGGCTTTGAATCCCAGCACTGCTGTGTCCTGCCTCTGTTTCCTCATCTGTAAAATGGGAATAGCGCTGCTGGCCTCAGTGGCTCCTCATGGGGGGATGAATCGAGAGAGGGAAGTGCAAGAGGGCGATAGGCTTCAAAGGGGGTGCAGGAAGGAGAAGTGTCTTCGAGGAATGCAGGAATGTCCCGTCTGACCTTGCAAGGCTGAGATGGTCTTCCGGCCTCAGGAGGCCCTCCCCTACTCCCCAGCCTGGCTCGATACCCTGAATTGCTCTCCAACTCACTTCCTGGGCTGTGGTTGGCTCATCATCTCTTTATCTGTATCCAGTTCTCTCGTTCCTAAACCCGCATCTTACGCAGACTTGCAAGCTGGGTGGGGAAGGGATTGGGCTCTGCCTGAGTGACCTAGCCCAGCATCTCTCCAAACCTCAGTTTCCTCCTGTAAAATGCGAACAGTAAGAAGACCCATCTTGAGGGGTTGTGGTGAGGTTTGGGGCCAGGGCTGTTCCATGTGGCAGCATCTAGCCACATGTGGCTATTCAAATTCATCAATTAAAGTTAAATAAGATCTTAAAAAAGCAGCTCCTCGGGTGCGCTGGCCACGTTTCAAGTGCTTACACGTGGACGGCGCAGCTGGACAACACTTCCATCATCCCACGAAGTTCTAGCTGCAGCGCTGGTTTGCACAATCTATGGAAAGCACTCAAGCCTGCACTAGGCACCCACTACATGTTGGCATAAGTTCATCTGGAGCTGCAAACTCTTTGAGGGCAGGGGCCGTGATTTCAGGGAAAGTTCTGCT